TTGGCGTTGTCTTTCTTTGGATTCTAATTCCAAGTTAGATTGTAAGTCTGTTTAAAGTCGACTTGCGTACTAATTAGTGTGGATAGACTGGGTGCCCATCCTGTTTCATGGTTGAAGGCTGTAATCATCCACAGGCAGATGGTAGTTGGTGTCATCGAAAATGGCTATCAACATCAATCGAGAGGTTGAAGATACCTTTTACAGGTATAAAATGCCGAAACTTACTGCCAAGGTATGGTTTTAACTTTGTATTGAGTATTTTGTAGGTAGAGGGCAAAGGGAATGGTATTAAAACAGTCATCGTAAATGTGTCAGATATCGCCAAAGCATTGTACCGAAAACCCATTTGTATGTCTTTTTTTCACTCTGTGAACTCCTTTAGATCTCACTAAGTTCTTCGGGTGTGAGTTAGGGGCTCAAATCCATGTAGACGAGAAGAATGAACGCTATATCGTTAATGGTGCTCATCAAGCAGAGAAATTGCAGGAACTACTAGATGGTTTCATTAAAAAGTTTGTGTTGTGCCAGAGCTGCGGGAATCCGGAGACTACCATGGTTAGTTCTGTTAAAAATTATTCTCTTCGATAGCACGTCAACAAACGAGGAGGTACAGTTGCTACAACATGTAAAGCATGTGGCAGTCAGGGACAGTTGGACGTTACTCACAGGCTGACCCAGTACATAGTCAAAAACCCTCCAGAACCAGAAGCTACTCCAGCTAAATCTAAGCAAAAGAAAGGAAAGAAGACGAAAGGTGAAAATGAAGGTAAGATAACTAATAAGCCGTTACTGTCAGATGACGATAACGAAGCAAACACTAATGGAGATGAGAATAGTCGCAGCAGTCCTGTTAATGCTGATGAAGATAATGAAGATGACGACTGGCTAGAGGACACTACTGAGGAAGCGCGACGTCAGAGGATCAACACTTTATCAGCCATGGCAAAGTCCCTTGCTTTGTGTGACGACGTGGAGCGCTCTGAAACGGAGAGAGCAGATATTTTCTACAAACACTTGTCACAGATGCATCAGAATGACAAAGTCCTGGCAAACCGTAAAGAGGTGAAACTGGAAGCCGACCGTCTTAGTCTTGGTCCACGTGCTGTGTTGGTTATCGCCGAGGTGTTATTTAATAACCCATCTACTATTCTGAATGATATAAAGAAATACGCCCCGTTATTACTTTTGTTCACTCGGTCGGGTGAAGATCAGAAACGAGCCCAAATGTACACATGGGGTGCCATGGCGAAGCTTATCGAAAGACATTCGGATCAAAATCTAATAGATAAGGCGTGTCATCTTCTTAAGACATTGTACGATTGTGACGTTATCGAGGAAGACATTATTTTGGATTGGTACGACAAAGGAGTAAGTACTTTATTTAAGCTACATTAAATCATAGCCTTCAAAAAAATTTGTATCTCGCGAGTTAAGTGCAAAAATACTGGCTCGCTGCTCTCCTATGGTGACATGGTTGCGACAAGCTGAAGAGGAAGAGTCGGAAAGTTCTGAAGAGGAGTCTGAAGCTAATAACCACGCAGTAATTTATTTTATTAACTGACTCGCTCTTAGATTACTCAACCTATTAATGGGTCAAACAGTGCCAAGGTTCCTGCCACTAATGTGACGGATGATGAAGATGACGATGTGGACATAGATGCTATATAAAACGTCACACCAAACCGTGTTGAATTACTGAGCTACCAAGCTTTAGCCCGTCTCTGATTCCTAATTTTTTGTTTTTTTCTAATAAATATATTCCTGTCTGGTAGTTTAAAAGACGAGTTCTTCGGTTTGTGTGTTGTTACTGTGAGGAGCCTGTTAGATTGCTCGAGCGTTTAGTGTGGTCCATTGAGTAATATATTACCGTTCACTAGGTGGGTTGCGGAGTTATGTTCCTTGTGTCGAGAGGTGTGTAGTGCCAATTATGGTGCACTTTGTAATGCTTTTTCTTTGCGTGGAACTTGTTGCGTTGTCCGGCCACGCGATATGGCTTTCTGGTCGTAAAAATATCTTCCTCACTAGATGGGGCGGGGTACGCCCAATGTGTTAACTGCAAAGAATTAAGGTGGGTTGGACAACAGCCCACCGGAAGGGGTTGGTTTGCCACTTTCCGTGGGGACAGTACTGTATGTGCTCCACCGCGACGCCGATTTACCGCATATACGTGCTGTCTTGGTCCATTTCACGCCTGAGGTTAAGCCTGCGTTATATTTCTTTCTTTCGGGTTACCAAATAGCATGTCAAGCCCTGGTAACAGTATTTCCTGGTCGCTAGCATGCATTTGCTGCTGTCACGTGTCCTAAGTCTCGGTATGGTAACGAACTGATTCTTCGATCAAATGGAGGTAACGTATTTATAGTGTCCTAAAGAGTAGGGATATTGGATCTTGACGTCAGTGACTCAAGCCATTTGTTCAGTGTGAGTAGACAAGTTGAGAAGTACACATAAGCAATGAGAAGGTAATTAGTACGATCACTCAAGATAGTGGGACCTAGCGATATTTGGGGAACTTTAGTTACTCCCTTTCCTTTGGATTTGGAGAGACCTTTCCCCATTATCTCAATATTTTCATAATACTGGCTTTGTGGTTATTGGAGACGCCAAGCACTGCTATTCTCGATGTAATTTGCAGTCTCAAGTTCTACTCTGGGATATTACATATATGACCGTCTACCCAGTGCTTGCTTTGTTTGGAATTATCAAATTATGATTGTAGTCAATAATCTTGAATCATAAATGGCAATAATTGGTGGAGATTTGTAGCTCAGGTGGATAATTTACTGGGGTTTTGTCTGAGGTGGATGGTTTACTGATGGGGCTTTCATCGTTTTTGTGAACGACATAATCGTCTTTCATCTTACCTGAGTCTTGGGTTTCGGTGTCGTTTGATCTGTATATACTCACTCATTTTCGCCCAAAACTCAATGTTCGTCATTGCTAGTGGGATTATTTTAACTTCATCTTATTAATCTCACATCTTTGTACCGACATTGTAAAAGAACTTAAGCTAATGCATACTTGTCCGTGGCTCGACGCTGACTATGATTGATTTATACCGCTTACATTCTCGATGTGGTTCAAAATGTTATTAGTCATTGTATATGTCCAGCCTAACATGTGAGCTCTGAAAACTTGATAGGAAAGATTAGGTATCGAAGATACGACTCGGAAAGAGTTTATAAACTAGTGAATAAAACGAAAAAGGTTATGAAGAATTTAGAGTCAGGATTTGGAGGAAGACAAAGAATGGATGCACCTGCGCCATTCCAAACGATTTTGAGCCATATCATTCGAAGTCTGACCATTGGTTACGATAATCACACGGACTACAACCAGGTAATCTATACCTATTAACGTGGTTAAGTCCAATTATCAGTGACTTCATGTACTGATGTCATGTTCTTGTTTGGTCGCCCCTAGCTTCTAGCTTGCTGCACCGAAAAGCATCACCCGTCGAGGTAGGTGGTGGTTGGGAATACGCAACACACATTCCAACCACCTCAGTTGATGAAGATTTACTACCTCATCATTCGGTTTTCCATCCTTATCTGGTACTCTGTTCTTAACCCGGACATTGCCAATTGCGTGGTCGCGAAATTCACGGACAATGTTTTATGGACACTTACTATCGAATACTAGTACCTTACGAATATTCTCTACTCTTAATGGTCATGTTTCATATCCATAAAGTAGAACAGAGCAAACTGCTTCTCAGTAAACTCACCCTTTGGTTGGAAGACGGATATCTCGCTTACGCTACAAGTGACGCAAGTTGGCAAAGGCCAATCGAGTCTTCTGAGTCCGTGCCGAGATTTTGTCAGACAATAGACCATCAGTACTGGTGAGACTCCTAATATAAATGAAACGGTCAATGCGTCCAACTACTTTACTACTTATTCAGGTGATGACGCAAGCCGCTCTTGAGGTAACATTTTACGTTTAGAGGGAGAGAACTGCATCCCAAACATGTTTGAACTACTGCTTACGATGGTCAGAAGACCCTGTATTTTATCAGCGTCTTCCACAAACAGAACTATATCATCTCCATATTCTAAGTCAATAAGTGAATCTCCTGGTCTGGACTTGCAGAGTTTGTTGTTATCAGTTTTATGTATGTTACTTAAAAAGATTATGAGGGAAAGTCTAAAAAATCCTTTATTTATATTTGTCTCATACTTACCATAAAGTTGCGATAATCTCTAGAAGTGATCATTTACGAGTAGATTGTAGATTAATTATGCAGCTTACTTCTATGTGAATTAAGCTCTGTTGATGCTGTCCAGGACGACAGTGAATGCTTCTCAATTAAATCACACTTATCGGAGAATACAACGGAAAACATTCACTTTAGCTACAGATTCATTATTATTATTATCATTGTTACTATTTTAATCGCTTTCCAAATTAATTTTCGTCGCTCTTTGCGCTTCTACTTTTAGTTGCTTCTGGTACAATTTCACTTAGTCGTTTGAATACCTTCACCCTAAATTAATAAAACAAGGAAACAATTAGTTTAGTTAGCAAACTGTGTTCATATTATAGTACACTGTTAAGTCTTGATTTACAATTACCTTATAAGAATTGATTACAAATTTATGTTGTAATCATAAACACTATATGCTTCGACATTATAATATTCATGATTTCGTTATTGTAACTATTGTGACGAGTCAAATAGATCAATTCCGATAGAATGATAAGGTTATTACAAAAATCGGTTAGAGATGATTGATAATAAATATCGAAATATAAATTATACACAAATAAAAATATGAGACATTACTTAGATTGTCAGAAGAAGGCGTGTTCAGGTGTGTATCCAGATTAATCATATAATGAGGATATCAGTATAATCTTTAAATATAGAAAGAAAATATTTTACAGTCCTATTATTATAACAGCTGATAAGTAAGAACGAGAAGTATATGTGTGCAATAGTGTATTTGTAAGTGATAATCAATAAATTATGCCATGAGAGTACAAAATAGCAATAGTGGTCTAGAGGTTAAGCGTTCGCGCCCGAAACCTATAGGTCCGGGGTTCAAATTCCTCAGGGCGGGTTCATGGATGCGCACTACTGAGGAGTCCCAAACTGGGACGAAACGGCTATCCAGTGCTTATAGGTTTTCCATGGTGGTCTAGCTTCAATTGATTCATGATCTCAACTGTTTAAAATTACTACAATCTCCACAAAACCCCTTCTGATACTAATCAACAACTGCTCACTAGTGACTGGCTTCAAGATATATATCCTGGAGTTCTAGTGAGAAGCAGTGGCCAGTTGAGTTCAACCGGGTCACTTGTGAGGTAGTAATTCACTGATGACAATGGTGGATGTGTTGTTCAATTTCGTGGATTAGTTGAAGTTAGACATTAACACCGTTGGATGCCGGCTCAGTAAATGTAATCTTTGATTATGATGATCATTCTATTTACCCATAAACTTCCCAACGTTCTCTTAAAAGCACAAAAAAAATTCAGCTGACATCTTCTGGCATATACTATAACGAGATATTGAAATACGTCCTAAGAATCAATTCTATTTTACAACATAATGTTTATTCGTAATTTACGTTTTGCAAACAAAAATACGTTAGAGTAAACTAATTGTGTACAATAAACTAAATGACTGAATTGTCTGTTACTTTAGTGATCCCCATATATATATATATATATATATATATATATATATATATATATATATATATATATATATATATATATATATATATATATATATATATATATATATATAGTTTTAATCAGTAAACATTTGATATGATTAATGAGTATTGGCCGATTACCAATGTTTATTTCATATATAGAATAAGTATTAATTGATTCCAAGGAATAGAACATGAATATTGAGAAAGAGTGATTGCTGCCTTTCAGAATTCAATTAATTTTCCTCAATTTTCATCGCTTGTTTCGAACAGGTTATCCAAGTATATCTCAAGGACTGATAGATTATATGACAGAGCACACTTTGTTGATATACAACTAACCTATTGCTAATATGGGTGAGATTTCTATCAAATGGTATATTCAAAGCATTTCCAATATTTGCTATGGTTATTAGGTTAACGATATTCAATGATCACTCGGCTAAACAGATAAGACAGTTGATAGGACTATAAATCCTCATCAACATAATCAATTAGTACTTTACAAATTCACCCAAACACCATCAATTTCAAAATGCTATCTCAGCTGGAGTGATAGCAGAATGAAAAAAGGGTTATTAGATCATAACATCAATCATTAAAGATTTTACTTGTTAGAAACTGCGTATATTTTTATTGGGTTCAACGAGACAGATGGAACTAATGACTCTCAACTTAGAATGACAATAGTCAAAATCTATGAAAATAAGGAAGATACATAATCTCTGTCTCTATAATTATATAGAGAATCGTTACTAATTTTTTCACTGTTATTGTATTCTCTGAGCTAGATGGTTTAATGACGAAAATTTCATTGTCATTCTAGGTAATGTTATCAGAACCTATGGTCTAGAAAACACTATGACACTAAAATCATTTACTTGTGGTATATATGTAATTCATCATTTCAAAATCCATTTTCATAATGTATTTCAATTAGTTCTCCCTATTTTCATTGCTAATTTTTATCTCTCTATTTTACCTCACATTTTATTCATGTGAACTGCGGAAGTTTTGAAGTAATACAATAAGAATATGATTACATCATATCATACCGGAAAATGATTAATTTCCATAAAGTTTTCATTTTAAAACAGTGAAGAACACTT